TCCAAGATCCTCGGTCCTGTCGGCGATGCTCTCATGAAGGAGCGACTCGCCGTCTGCTACGCTTCGAAACCAGGCGTCGGTTCTGGCTCATGGGGACACCGGAAGCGAAAATCGGCCATGTGGTGTATCCTTGGTGGCGAGGCATGGGATCTACAACAGAAGTACATCCAGTCCCAGCGGTGTCTCAATGAGGCCTCGCGGATCTACTCTGAGCTCCCACACGAAAATGGTGTCTCCAAATTCAGCCTTGCCAACGAGTTCGTGGCTGGCCTACAACATCAGCTCGACGAGAAGCTCGATGTGGATGATGGGACTGGAGGCGACGAGTCTCCATCACAAGACGTAGAGGAGGTTCTCGTTGAGGAAAGTGAGACTATGGATTTCAGGTCAAGAAGGACGAGTATGATGGGTCGTGGAGGAGCTCCTGGCGCAAGCCTTGAGACTGCGCCATTGCATGAGGTTGCGTCCCCTGTCAAAGAGAAGGGTGATGGATCGGTGCAAGACGAGTTTGGCTAACACAACTTGGGCCGCTTGGAGCGGTGGAGGTGCAGCGACGGGTGAACGATGTGATTAGTAGATGCGTTTACGAAGCGGATCAATAGCATTTACGACCACTCTCCCTGCCTCTGAGAGTCATTGTCCTTCCATTGTGATTGTTCATTTCTTCGACTAAGAGGAACTCTATGGCAGAAGGCAGACAAAGTAAGGCAAGCAGTCAGAAGTTGTGTCTGCTCCTTCTTCGCTTGTAATCCAATAGCACATTTAATCCATTCATACGTTTAAAAGCCATCGTTGTTTCCCCTTTACATTGGCTGCCTTACTCATAGTTAGACCTGATGCTCAAGTGTTACATACCTTAAATGTCGCTTGATGAGGTGGTGCCTTCTATCCATCGCCATGGAAGGTGGTTCTCAGTACGTACCTGCACTAGCCCCTGCTAGAGGTCAGGCACCTGGACACACTTGTCACTCGGGAGTCGGGGACCCTTGGACCCAGCAATGATCTCACCAGCAACCGATAGGAGGAAGGCAGCGCTGAACCTGCCCCGATAAGGCAGCTTCCCCCACTGTCCCGCCAAAGCAACTGTCTCTCTATTGCTTCGTTTGGGCTTCGTCGGGAAGTTTCTAGGTCTCAGCGGAACACGACGATTTTCGTTTATACATCTCTTAATTGCCTTTTCCTTTGCCTGTTCGAAGTTCATCCCTCTCCCTCGTTCCACCTAGACTCTTTGAGGAGATCCCACTTCCTGCCGACCCGAGGTCGAAACGCCGATACATACCTTCAACAGAACCGATTGTGAGAGCTCTCGGCAGACCCGACATCACACGGCCCAAGATGGGAGAGCTTGCCGACTTTCTGGTCGAACGCGACCAAAATTTTCGGAAGTATATTTCCCCTTTCCTCGTACCCATCTATAAACCAAGCCTCGAGCTTCAGCAGTACGCTAACAACCTTGCCTGCGCAGAGCCCGTTTACCCGCACTCTACTCCGACTTCCGCCCACAACGAACCCTCAACCCAGACGGCTTCCAAGCCAACGTCAGCGCATGGCGCCAGGCCCTCGCCCGCGCGGCATGGGAAGGCCGGATCGCCTCACAGCTCTCGGCGCCGAATTTATTAGTGGTCAACGTCGACGAGCAGCTTGTGCGGTCTCTCGAGAGCAAGCAATTCGGCCGCCCGCTCGCGCTCGGCACCGTTGTCAGGGAGGCCGTCGCCGACAAAGACCTGTACCCGCTCGACGAGTTTACTAAAACCAAGGAGAGCATCTATGCGGGCAAGACGTGGGCGCAGGTGCCGTGGAGCGTGGTTTCGTGGGCGGCGGGACAGTTGTTTGGGGGCAAGTCGACTTCGGGCGAGGATAAGGTTCCGCAGGGGCGGTTTGTGGTGTTGAGGAATGTCGAGACGACGGCGAAGAGTCTTGCGGAGAGGGTTACCTCTGCGGATTCGAGGTTCGACAGGACGTATACGAAGTCGCACTTTCAAAAGACGTTTGCGGACGCGCTGGTGCAAGATCGGAGGTTATCTGAGACGGACGTCGATATCCTGCTCATCTTCCTTTCACGGGACAAAGGGATCGTGGTCTACGACGGGAAGGTGGTCAAGATCAAGGGATCGAGCACAGACGAGGACGACACGACGATCACAGAAGAAGACGCCGCCGTCTCGTCGCTAAAGGAACTTATCGCCGATATGAAGCAGCAGACGACCCTCCTCACGGCGCGCGTGGACGAGCTCGCGGCAGCGGCCAAGGAAGCCGTCGTCAAGAAGAACAAGGTGGCCGCGCTGGCGGCGCTCAAGTCCAAAAAAATGACCGAGGCGTCGCTCGAGAAGCGCTTCGCGACGCTGAACCAGCTCGAGGACGTGGCGGCGAGGATACAGGAGGCGCGGGACAATGTTCAGCTCGTCAGCGTCATGGAGGCGAGCGCGGGCGCGCTCAAGGGGCTCAACGAGAAGGTTGGCGGCGCGGACCGGGTCGAGGACGTGGTGGACCGGTTGCGGGAGCAGATGGGCGAGGTGGACGAGGTGGGCAAGATCATCTCCGAGGCTGGTGCCGCGCCTGTGGTGGATGAGTTTGAGGTGGATGAAGAGCTTGAGGCTATGGAGCGCGAGGAGAGAGAGAAGGTCGAGGCGGCGGAGCGGAAGGAGAGAGAGGCGAGGGAGGAGAGGGAGGCTGAGGAGACGAGGAGGAGGCTTGAGGCTGAGATGGCGGACTTGAAGCCGCCTGTTGCGGAGCCTGTTGAGAGGCAGGGGGCCAAGTCGCCGACGGGGGAGACGGCGGATAGTTTGCAGAGGATGGGGCTTGAGGAGAGGGAGCAAGAGCGGGAGAAGCCGATGCCTGCGGAGTGAAAAGGCGTCACTTCACTTATGCCCACACAACAGGCATTGTACTAATGAATTATTGGGTGTTAGATCACGGCGTTTTTTGCTTGTTTTTGTATTAAAGCAAAGTCTGTATATCTTACAGTCGGCAGGGTATAGTAAAGAAGAACGCGCTATGCCATGCAACTACCACGCAGAATGTCACCGCGCCTCCTGACCGCTGGGTATCTGAGGCTCTGAGAAGCCTTCTTGTAAGTAATATGTCGATGCTGGGACCTGGGGTTTGAGCGCTGGATTGTCAACCTGCATCATGGATCCCGGGGGACCGTCCTCTGGGCCGCCTTCTCTGGGGGCATCTGCTGGAGGTTCCGTCAGATCAATCACCGCGGGACCTGCACCACTGTCTAAATCCACCTTGGGAGCATTCGTCTCCGCTGAAGCAGCCCCACCATCTTCCGATTTTGGAGTCGCCGTCTCCTTTTCCTCTTCCTCCTCGCTCTTAGGTTTCGCCTGGGCCCTGGACTTTCGCGCGTTGGCAATTAAATCCTTGAACGAGGTATCATGTTTTGCCGCCCAGGCGACGCCATCAAACTCCTTGTCCTTGACCGCGACTCCCGGCTTCACAAACATGGCCGCCTTGGAGCCCTGCGTACGCTCCCACACGTCGAGATCATGCAGCAGCTCCGTCCTCCGCTTCGGTCGCGCCGAGTCGCAGTTTGCGTTCCACAGCGTCACCCATTCCTTGTGTCTCTTTTCTAGTTGGACGCGGCCGCCTGTGACGGAGAGGCCGAGGTCTGACATCTTTTTACGCAAAGCGACGTCTTTCAACATGGAGTAGGCGAGGGCGGGGAGACGTTCGGGAGCAGGGTGCGATCTGCTGGGGCCGGCGCGGCGGGCGGGGGTGTTTGGTGTCGGGGTACGGCTTGCGCTTGCGCGGGCTGGGGCTATATGGTGTTGTTGTGGCGGTGGTTTCGAGCCGTCGCAGGTGTCGAGGTGACGGAAGACTTGGGCTTCCTTCATGCGTGTGCTGCATATAGGGCATGGGACCAGGCCGTCCTCGGGAGCTGGGAAGAAATATGTGTTAGGAGGGTTGTCAGGTGGAAGAAGAGCCATGGCTTACCAAAATCTGCGTCCTCTGACTCGTTGTCCTCCTGTACTTCCTCCATCTCGTCAACCTCATCGACCTCGTGCACCGGCGCGGCCGCAGTCTGTCCAGATCTCGTCCTGCTGAGCCTCGCCGAACTCCTCAGGCGCTTGGTCTCTGGCTGCTGATCACCGCTCTCCTCCGCCAGCCTCCTCTTGGCTGCACTGCCGCTGGGTTCTCGCTGGTCACTCTGACCCGCCGTCCTCGCAAAGTGTAGCGTATCCTTCCTGGCCTTGACAAACGAGTCGACTACCTCCTCGAGAGACCAATTACTCCTCAGCTTCAACTCCTGGTCCGAGGCCCGGCAGAGAGGGCACTTGCCGTCGTTGGACAAGGCGCGACGGATGCAGAGAGAGCAGAAGGTATGGCAACATGACGTTACCATTGGTGTCTTGAAGAAATCCTTGCAGACCTGGCATCGTAAGGAGGCTTCGACTGCTGAGAGGGCGGGGAGGGGTGTAGAGAGCCAATCTGTCGAGTCTGGGACGTCCTCGAAGTTGTCCGCCATTGTTGGGAGGGTTTCGTAACAGGACCGAGGGCGAGTGAGTCTAGTTGGTTGCGATCGGTACTCTCGGGGCACAAGTCGCTTGGAAAGACTTTGTGTGCCTGAGCTGGGGATTTGAGTGAAGGTCTCGAACAATGGAAACAAGGGTGTCCAAAGGCAAAGGCGTCAATGAACTTTTGGAGACGATGGGAAAGTCGCGTCGAGTGGCGCGCTCACTGGGAAAGTGTCAGGGATTTGAGGACCGGGGGTGTAGAGTTAGTGGATAACGTCACCAATCGCCCTCGTCTGAATGGCTCTAGCAGGGGGGTGTGCACAGAAAATCAATTAAGAGAAAAGGGTGGGGTCGCGTCTTTGTCTTGGCCCGACGCGTCTTCTCAGAGCAGGTAGCTCCCTCACCACCTTGTACCTTCTTCACAAGGAACCATCGTGACAACTCCCTGCAAAAGCTGTCACTTTGTCCATTGACGAGCTTCAATCATTTCACCTTGGGCCACTTCGCAGACTGTTGGAGGAGCAATCAGATCACTTCACCATGGACGAATACAAAAAGTATCTGGCGGATCAGATCCTGAGTGAGGAGAAAATTGTAAGCTACGACATTCCCACGGGGGGCATTAGATCGGTGCTCACCAATCTCCCAGGTCACATATCGGAGCCTCAGCAGGGCACTCAAAGTTCATGTCAACACAGCAAAGGGGTCAGTTCCTTGAAGCTTTGTTCCTTTGACTAGCGCAACAACTCCTAACCTTTTGATAGAATGCTCTATGACTTCCATCGGTCACAGAATGGGATGCGCCCTGGCACGATCCATGCAACCTATCTGATCTATGGTACTCAAGCAGCACAACAGAAGGTCCAAGATGATGGCGATGTTGAAATGGCCACTTCGCCCCCTGATGTCGAAACTTCTGAAGATGTTGTCACCCACTCCCTGTCTCTTGTCCCTGGCGACCTCTTGAAAGGTGATTAGAACACTTTCGTTTCTGCTGTTTTCTCCCATCACTGACCTTTTTTAGACACTCTGGCCACTTACGAAGAGGTTACCTCATTCCATATCTACAGCCTGGCGAGACATCCCACTAGGGTAAGCCCCTTTCCTCCTTCCTCTAGTGACACCGTTAATCAGTGCCCCAGGACATGCAACTTCTAGCAGACGTTCATCAACAAATCAAGGAGCAGTCGACGAATGAGAGCGCAACCACGGCAGCGATATACGGTACCATCACCAACCCCAATGTCCGCAAACGCACCCGTCAGGGTAGGGGGCCGGTACCTACACCTGCTGCTCCAGCACCGGCGGCGAAGCCTGTGAAGAAGGAAGCAGCACCTCCTGCAGTCGCCCCTGAACCCAAGGCAGAGATACCAGTCAAGCAAGAGGCCAATACGCAAACCAGAGAGACACCCGCTTCCACGGCGGCAACGAAGAAGGGCGCGGCGCCACCAGCGTTGAAGAAGAGCGGCTCGTCTGGCATTTCGGGCATGTTCGCTAAAGCCGCAGCCAAGGCTGCAAGCAAGCCGAAAGAGGCCCCGAAACCGGCACCCGTTGAGACGCCCGCGTTATCTGATGATGGCGAGGACGACGATGAGGACATCCCCGCCGCAAAGGCTCCGGTCAACTCTGGAAGAAAGTCACGAAAGGACCGTGAGGCTGAGCTGAAGATGATGATGGAGGAGAGCGAGGAAGAGGAAGAGGAAGAGCCCGAAGAGAAGGAGGAAGACGAGCCAATGGACGAGCCAATGGAGGAGGCTCCTGAGCCGGAAGCAAAACCTGAACCAGCGGAAGTCGTCTCTAGCACCGGCGACGGCCGTCGGCGTGGCAAGCGGAGAGTTATGAAGAAGAAGCAGATCATGGATGATCAGGGCTACCTTGGCAAGTTTGATTAATCTTCCCTTACGTCTTCTCAAAGCTAACACTAGTCCACTAGTCACTATCCAGGAACCTGCTTGGGAAGAGTTCTCTGAAGACGAGGCACCCCCGCCGCCCGCAAAGGTGGCCAAGACTTCATCTGCGCCAAGTTCAGGAAGCCAAGCTGCGAAGCCGAAGAAGCCTGCTCCCAAGGGACAGGGCAACATCATGTCCTTCTTCTCCAAGAAATGATTATTGCGGAATAATTTGGGAGTTCATACCAAGAGGCTTGATCGACACTTGGCAGAAAGAAAAGGGGAGAAGCGTTGTCTAATAGAAAGCTCTCGAGTTTCACAGTAAAGCGAGCTGTCACATGCAGATACCCGCGATTTGTCCAACAATTGTGCTACTAATGAACCTCATGTTAGCTATAAGTGCGGACAATTATTGCCTCTACACAGTAGATCACAGAGGTTTAAATAGCACTGGAAGAAACCTAAGACCGCCCGGCCCGGGAGCGGCACGGACGCCGGAGGTCGCCCCGCGTCACCCCGCAGTGGGCCCGAGTCGTCAAGATGCGACGCTAAAATACGCAACCCCGGTCAGAGCTCCTGCAAGGGACCACAGTGACGCTGCGGCATCCCCCAAAAGACGCAGCGGACACCTGGCTGGCAGGGAGCTCGTCGTCTTATTTTCCGCGTCAATCCAACGTCGCACATTGCTTCGTAACACGATCGCTTTTTTGTTTCTGTTCCTAGACCCTACCACACTCTCTCCACACTGCAAAGAGTTTCCTCGGCGACTGATACCCATGCGGACATAGACTCAAATTTTGTTCTGTTTTCCCTCCCCGTCCCTTTTCCTGCCTGGTCACATTGCTTCGCAGCCATGTCCTTGCGCACAGTATTCGATCTGCTGCTGCCCCTGGGTCTGCTGGTCAGCCAGACCTACGCAGCGCAAGAGCCTCTGACGGGCGAGGATCGCGAAGCATGCCCAAACTATGCGCAGTATTCTACATACCCCCAGTGAGTTGGCTACTCTGGCCTTGGCCTCTCCTGTTGAGACCACGACCCAATGCTAAGACTCTGTGTGTGTCGACAGTAAACCCCTGAGCGAAGGTCCCCTTGGCCTGCCCTACCAACGACCCGATCCACGATGCCGTACTTTCCACTCCGACGCCATCGAGAAGGTCATTAAGGACGTCACATCCAGAATGAAGGACCCTGATCTGGCCAGGCTATTTGAGAACGCGTTCCCTTCCACAACGGACACCACTGTCAAGTTCCACACCGATGGCACCGATACCAGATTCGTCGATCTCAAGGGCCGCAGCATGCGCGACGAAGGAAAATGGGAGGGACCGCAATCCTTCATCATCACGGGCGACATCATTGCCGAGTGGCTGCGTGATAGCACAAATCAGCTTTCACCCTACCAAGCGTTGGCCAAGAAGGATCCCGCCATCTTCAAGCTGATTCTTGGAGCCATCAACACGCAGGCTGAGTACGTCATCGAGTCGCCGTACTGCAACGCCTTCCAGCCCCCTCCTATCGCGAACCTGCAGCCGAGCCACAACGGACAAGACGACACGGTACACCCCATCTACGAACCCTCATTCGTATTTGAATGCAAATACGAGTTGGATTCGCTCGCGCATTTCCTCGCGCTGGGCAACGACTTTTACGAACACACCGAGTCCAAAGACTTCATGACGGGGCGGTGGTTCATGGCCCTCGAGACGGTGCTCAATGTCCTCGAGGAACAGTCCCGCTCGACGTTCGACCCGGAGACGGGCCGCTTCCAGAAGAACGAGTACACCTTCCAGCGCAAGACGGACGCGGGCACCGAGACGCTGAACCTCAAGGGCGTCGGCAACCCACTGAACAACGGCACGGGTCTCGTGAGGTCAGCCTTCCGGCCCAGCGACGACGCCACGATCCTCGGCTTCTTCATCCCGGCGAACGCCATGATGGCAGTAGAGCTGAAGCGCACGTCCATATTCCTCAAGGAGGCCGGCAAGGACGTTCTTGCGCAGACGGTGGATAAGTGGAGCCAGACAATTGCTGATGGCGTGTGGAATAACGGCGTGGTCAAGCATGCCAAGTACGGAGACGTCTTTGCTTACGAGGTTGACGGCTACGGTTCCTCTATCCTGATGGATGATGCGAATTACCCGTCGCTGCTGGCGCTTCCTCTCATGGGATTCTTGCCTGCGGATGATCAGACGTACAAGAACACCAGGAAGATGCTCTTGGAGAAGACTGGTAACCCCTACTACCTCGAGGGTGCTGCGTTCCACGGAATTGGAGGTGAGTTCTTGTCTTGAATGCGTCGGAGTGTTGAAACTTACAATATCCCAGGACCCCACATTGGGCTCTCCAACGCTTGGCCAATGAGTCTTTTGATCCAGGCGCAGACGTCCGAAAATGACCAGGAAATCACCGAGTGCCTTGACTTTGTCCTGAACTCTGCCAAACTCGGTTTGGTTCACGAGAGTGTTGATGTCGGTCGCATTTCTGCCTATACCCGTAAGTACTGGCGAGCCATTCGTCACAATTACCTCGCTAACAACAAGATACAGGAAGCTGGTTCGCATGTAAGATACTCGAAGGCCGACCTCTGGTGATATTGTGGATGATAATGCTGACTTGCAATAGGGGCCAACGGCGTCTTTGCCGAGACGATTCTCGACCTGGCTAAGAGGAAGCCTCATCTCATCTTCACTGACGCAAAGCCGTACACCATCTAAACGTGACATTGACTTTCGGGCACGGCGCGTCGGGTACGGAGACGGTTAATTAGTTGATCATAACATGGCGACGGTGGCATGGCGACGGCGATCTCTGTCACACCATTAGAGTAAGAAATAGCAGACCATTTGGGTGAAGAAATACAAATTTTCAACAAAAAACAAAAAGCCAGAAATCAGGCTCGATCCTCTTTACTTTAGTGAAGTAAACCGTGGCTGAGGATGAGGGCTGTTCGACTCTATAGCTGCCCCGCCATCTTTCTCAATTGACTATCCTTGCCGGGTTTGTAGATTACATACTACGTATTGCCCAGTCTGCGTTCTTGATATGTATATACCCGCGAGGTTCGCCTCGTAACGAGTGTAACTATGAATATCCTAAACACCTTAAATTCGTCTTTTTCTAGCAAGCGAATGCCAGCCTCGCTAACTTGAAAATATTTGGGCATAGCGTTCTCGGGAGATGACTCTTACCGCTGGTGATCATTATTTTTCCGGGGATATCCTTATCGGTCGTCGTTGCTGTCCGCCTGCCTATCCCGCTTCCCTGCTCTCTCCCACCTACGGGTGTAAAGGGGAGATGTTCGTTGAGAGGCCAAGGAAACGATTGTCTAAGCAGAAGGCTGAGATGGCGGCAGCGGCGAAGTAGGAGATGCACGAGATAACCGTTGACAAGTTTAGTATCTACGTTAAGGCAATCACAGTCAGAAGGTAATACAATGCCCAGCGTTTCATAGTCATAATCAGGTACATCAACATTATTCCCTTTCCCTCATCGTCGTCCAGAAGTACACCATGAATAAGTCAGCGGCTATAGCTAGAGACGGAAAGGCATACTTTATAAATCCCTTTTTAACCCCTAGGTGCGACTTGTAAGCATGTCGTCGAGTGGAACAGAGGCTTCGAAGCCATGATTGAAACCAGGAGTCCTGGGTGTGGAAAGGTGGCTGGCCCATTAACAACGAGCGCGACAATTTGCTTGGGTACAAAATGAAAGCCGTATTAGAGACGGATACATAGACTCGGCTCCTACTTTAGCGGCGCCTTGGCTAGTAATCAAGTCAACTGACCGCGAGCCCCTATCTCACGCGTCCACTGTCAGCTGCGGTCGGTGTCTTGATATCCAGCATAAAAGAGTGGTTGACAATGAAATTTACCGGTCCAGAAACATGCCTGAGATCCTCTCTTGTGTCTTGAGAGAGCCGCGCAAACTTGATTGCTGAGTATCTATACTTCGTATATTTTGGGAGAACAATGTTTCTATGCCCGGTCATCAGTCTGTTTCGTTTCAATAATCTATCATAAACATCTCTTAGACGGCACCCTTTCATCATCGGAGCTCATCGTCGTTGGAGCACACGTCGGAATACGCCGCTGATACTCAAGGCTGGAGGGCGAGAGGAGCCGCTAATTGTCTTTTACTATTCTTGGTTCTATTTACCATTGCCTTTGGTCGCTAATACTTCGTCGTTATCGATACACACCCCAAACACCACACGGAGCCCAACCTCATTGCGCTTGCAAGTCCAAGAACGTAAGGTAGGACACGGCGAGCTTCTTATACTCCCTACCCCCTTGGAAGATCAGTAAATACCATTGATATGATCAACGTCCCTTTGAATGGGTTTGGCCTTATAATCAGCCTAGTACTTGACTTGACGATGCGTCATTTCAATCTCGTCACACAGAATCAAGCTTCTAAATAGAGAGTGCGTCGTCCTCAAATCCTTGGCTTCAATGGCAGTATATGATGGTAGATGGGCTACATACTAGTAACTTAATCTACCTTACAATATGGATGTTGACCGAATTGAGTGTCACAAAAATGCATATTCATAGGCAAATGAAGATTGGACGGTCATGAAGACCTCGTAATATTCGAATATCTCTTTCTACATCTATGCCCATCATCGACGAGGAAGGCCTACGTGGCCGAACGCCCCAACTCCCAAGCTTGACAAAATGAACCAAGCTCTACAACCCTATCCCCTCCAAGGCTTCACATGGCAAAAGTCCAACATGTCGCAGACAATACTTCCAGCGTTTTCTTTTCTTTCATCAGAATCATTCACGAGCATAGTCTACAATGCCCTCGACTCAAAACTCCTCCACAGCACAGTTGGGATGCAACACGTAGACGATAGTCGCCGGCTCCACTGGTCCAGAAGAAGCGCCTTCGGCAGGCGCGTCGTCGTCTGCCAAGCCTTGGCCGCGGACAGCCATGAGGATATTTTCCTGTAAATTCGAATTAGTCTCGACTTCCTGGAAGTGTGTTCTGACTCGGAGATGCCAAATACCTTGACCATCCTCTTAAGAACCTTCTTCGCCAACGCCTTCTCAGAGTCGTGCTCCTCGACGCTGTTGAGCTCATCCTCCTTTTGCTCCAAGTACCACTCGACGAGCGCCTCGCCCTCGACGCCCTCGCCGTTCTCAGCCTCGGCTTCGTTGACGTGCTCGACAATCAAATTGACCATGCTCGAGTACTTCTCGAACGTGATGGTCT